CAGGGCGCGCACCGGCTGCGGGGAGCGCCGCGCCGTCAGGCGGCCCTGGCCGTACTGCCACGAAACGGCGTTTTCACGGCGTGCGCTGTCAAACTCAAGCCGGAAAAAATAGCCAGCGGGGGTTCGAAGTGCGCAATACCCATATGCTCACCCTACTTTCACGCTCTCCTGCTGTGACTGTGATAGACTCGAGTATGACCCTGGGGGAGGCACTCTTTTTTAGAGAGTAATTTTGAGTTTCGGGTACCTTGTTTTTCGAAAAGCACATGTACTAAGGGCTGTCGATTTGCCCTTAGTTTTATTGGTTTTACTTCTTAAATGAGACTGAATTCTACCAGCTTGTAAGTAGAACTGATGAAATTTTGCAGCTCTTTAAATCAAAAGTGAAAAATTCTCTTTTAGTGGTACCGGCAGTACTGACTACATTGATACATCCTTTTACCAACTAGTTTGGCAAAACTATTTAATATAGTTCATTAGTTTAGTTAATAGTATAGTCCTTAGTAAATATAGTTTTGCCTACCTCTGACCTAATACCATGGAGTGAGAGAGAATTTGAACACAGTTCTTTGGCCGTGATCGTCCTGATGCATAATTATCTAGATTATGAGGATGTCACAAATATGAAACTCCAAGCAAATATATTAATGAGTAAATAGATAAAAAATAGTACTAAAGAAAATTAGATTTGCTACATCATAGGTATGCTTTTTAATGGTGTGTCTCACTTTGTTTTATATTACTTCTGGCTACAAAATGTAACAAATAATACATCACAGTATAGAGTGTGGGGTATACTTTGTGATTCTTGGCTTACTTTAGGGAAACGTTTGAGAAGAAAAGGTGTTCACACACCTGTGTACTCCCATTAGAATGGCACAAAGACTGTGCTGTAGGCTTACCGTGTGTTTTGATCCCTTTTCTGCATGTTTTAACAAGGCAAGAAATGAAAATGTCAGCTTGGGCATGCAGTTTATTAGAAGCCAGCATTTGAGCTAGGTTTGCTGACTGAAAGACTTATGCATGTTAATCCCTAAGCTAGTACATAGCTTTGGAATCTTTCTCGAAGAATTGCACTATTAATTTTGGATGAGATCAAAATCCTGGTGAGAATCTTTCAATTTGGTCTTCTATTTCTGGTGATTTACTGCAGACTAGTATTTGCCACCTCTTCTGCTTTTTATCTACCCAAGTAATGCCAGTTACAGAAACTGATTCAGCTATTTTTCATTGTTTTCACACACATTTCTCTTCAAAAAAAAAAAAAAAGGACTGTTTTCCTTTTCTGTTGTCTTTTGTTTTCTCAGAATTCCTAAAATGCTGAAATAGGAATTCCTACTGCAGTCTACCAAAACCTTTGATAACATTGCCGTTCTGCCTTAAGACCAAACATGGAATAGTTCATCCAAAACAGAACACAAATAGTGAGCAACATCATACTAGTACTGGTACAGGAAAAATTATCTGTGTCTTTCTGGAGTTCTAGAGAGGCAGAAATATTTGTCTGTAGAGATGTTACTGGAAGATCTCAGTGGTAGAGTATGCTTATTGCAGTAATATAATAGCCGAAATGTGACTTACAAATATTTATGAATTTATTGGTAGGCATATATTAGAACAAGAAAAATAATTGGCATGACTATACATACTTTATATAATTATAGAAACTGAGAAAAAAAACCACCTATGGCACTAATCATGGTGACTAGGAAAGTCACGGGAGGTCCTTAATGCCTGGAAAAGGCACACCATTCTCATCAGGAAGCACGGTAAGGAGGATGATCCAGGGACCTACAGACTGGTCCGCGGAAAAGATTATGGAGAAAATCCTCCTGGAAGCCATTATCCGGCAGATGAACGACAAAAAAGTGATTTGGAACAAACAGCATGGATACACCAATTGCCTTCTGTGGTCAGACGACTGTCTCCATGGATAAGGAGAAAACAGTGAGTGTGGTTTATACGGACTATAACAAACCCTTCAGCACAGTTTCCCATAGCCACACAGAGTAGGTGAGCTGAAAGAGCAGCAGTCAACAACTCAGAGTTTAACTGGTGGCTAGTTATTAGCAATGTTTTTCAGGGGTAAAGGCTGGGGCTGATGCTTTTTGATGTCTTCGTCAGTGACCTGAACGATGGGATGAAACTCACCATCAGAAAGTTCACAGATGATAAAACAGTGCAAAGAGCTAGTATGCTGGAGGGTAGAGCTGCTATTCAGAAACTGGCTGACAAAAACAAGACTAAGTTCAAAAAAGATAAAAAATGTCTTGTACCTAGGATAGAATAATCCCATGAAATAGCACAGATTGGATATTGACTGATTAGGAAGCAGCTTTGCAGAAAAGGCTATGGAGTATCTGCTGGAGAACAAGATGAACATGAGTCAGCAGTGAGCCCCAGTAAGGATGAAGGCTAACCACATACTGTGCTGTGTTAGCAAGTGTGTAGTCAATAGGATGAGGGAAACAATTATTCACCTTTATTTGGCAGTTATGAGACCACATCTGGAGTACTGTGTCCAGTTTTGGGCTCCTGGTACAAGAAAGTCCAGCAAAGGGTCACTGAGATGGTTGGGGGCTGGAGCACATACATATGAGGAGGCGTTGAGCGGCTTAGGGCAGGGCACGGATCTGATGGCTGTTTCCAACTATCTAAATGTGGGCTATAGAGAAGACAGTCAAAGTCTTGCAGTTGAAAAGCAACAGGTTGAGTGGTAACAGCCACAGACCACAGCTAGGTAAATTCTGACTAAATGAAAGGAAACTGTTCTTCACAGAGAGGATGACAGAACATCTGAACAGGTGCCCAGAGAGGTGGTAGAATTTCCATCACTGCAGTTATGCAGAACTTGACTACACGTGGCCCTGAGCAACCTGAGCTAACTTTGAAATTGGCATGACTTTAAGCAGGGAGTTGGAGTCAATGATCTGCAAAAAACCCTCTAACCTCAATTTTTGTGATTCTACCTTGTTAAATCTTTATATACTATATATCTTTATATACTATATATACTTTATATCTTTCAAATCAGAAAAAAAATTGAACAAATTCTAACGTGATTAAAAAAATTCAAATTTTTTAGGGGAAGCTACACATTCTTAATACAATTGCATAATATCAAACCTTGACCAAAAATGATACTCTGTAACAACCCTCTGTAGAACAGGAATTTCCTTTCAGGGAGCATAGAACATCTGCTGAATAATTCATGGTTGAACAAATCATTCAGCAGACATGAAAGGTGTTGTTTACAGCAAGATTACATGCATAATGTTATCATTATGAATACCGTTATGCTTAAAATGTTGTGTTTTTCCAGGATCTGCTTTCTGACTGATAGAATCCTTATAGCGATTTATGTATTTTCGGCATTCTCCTCTCTTGTAACTGGTCCCATTTTGTGGAAATAGCTGCAGAGGGTAAGTGTGTGGGAAATCTTTAAGAAGAATGAAGTAGCGAAAAAGTTCCTTTTTAGTTTAGTTTAGTTATGTAGCTCTAAAGAGAAGCCTAATACTTAATTAAATTTTTACATTCTCATTTTATCCTTGGACCTTAACTGGTCTGATGGAGCCTAGAGATTGAATAGCAATGCATCAAAAAATTATCTCTCATTTCCTAGAGTATATATTACAAAGTCACTTCTATCCCACAACCCAAACCTTTCAAGAGTATTTCTGTGTTTACTAGCAATGCTTATTATCTATATTGACCACTCAAAAGTGAGAATGTAACTCTGTAGGGTTATCTCAGACTTTTATTAGTGTGCTGGGTCTTGTCATTTCGTTGCTTAATACTTTAACTGGACAAATTACAGATATTTACTTTAGTATGTGGAAATAAAAAAAAGCTACAACAAACCCAATCAGCATTAAGACTGTCATAGTGATGTATATCCCATTTTATAGGGAGAAGCAGTTCCAGGAATCAGAAGATAGGTGCCAGGGATCTTCTTTCAGTATTAAGAACATTGATAGCCTAGTTCTGCGCTAATTTAAAATATACTAAAAAATTCTCTTTTAGATAGTAAGTAATATGGGAGTTTTGTCAGTAACTGTACCCAGAAATTCAGCAAATCAGGATTCATAATAGAAACTGAGATCTTTTGCTGTCTTGACTTTAGGAGTTCATTTTCAATGTGTGAGCTGTATTAATGTAACTCTGTAAAGGTATGGCTAGGTACATCACATATTTAGGCACCTATATGCTGTAGGGCTTACTGCCCCACATTAACTGAAACAATAAACACTGAAACACTTACTGTGTTCATGCATTGCTCCAATACAAGTCTTCCAATTTTTCTCTTGTTAAGAAATAACTGTATAGACCAAATATAGAAAGAGAAATGATTCCCTATAATTAAAGCCTATAATTTTAGTAATCATTAAAACTGA